TATACAAGTACCATTAATGTAGAATTTTGACCATGAAAATTAAATTGGGTCTTCTACATGTTTTAATTTGGGGTTTTATTGAGTTTATATGTCGTCTTATTGTTTGAGTGCAAGCTTGATGAGTTCAAGACTACTGAGAAAGATCCGATCTACGTAAGCTTGAGCTCAAATTCGAGTATGTAACTTCTGATAATTTATATGTTTCTTGATTTTTTTTGTTAATAATGTACATTAATTTATGTTCTTTGGTTTCCTTTCTCCATCACAAAGTACTAACTTCCCTCATTTTAATAGATAATGTTTCAAAAAAATATTTTTCGGGGGTAGTCCCGTGAGCCCCCATCCCTTCAACTCTCGGACCCCCCTACTTTGATGGGCTAGTTCCGCCCCTGCCTGTGTGTGTTTAAAAATGGCGGCTCGTGGTCCCCACCTCCTAATGTGAGTGAGGTGTAAAAGATTATGTAAAAAAATTATGTACATGTAACATAACCCGTAAAAATAAATTGTTTCGTTCTTCTGACAATTACATTGCTAATAACAGATTGGACTTGGATGTCAAGTGAGTGTGGAGGAACTGGCCCTTGAAGTTCAACAAAGCTTCTGCTCTGAAGCAGTTTGTGTTAAAGGCGCAGAAAATCCCACTTATGTCACGTCAGCTATGCATTTATTATTTTTTTGTCAGTATATATTTGCATTTCCCTTACACTACGTTCCACCACCTCAACAATGTTTGGTGTACAATCATTAGGAGATTGTAAAAATTACAATATCTCACATTAGGGTGGGTCCGCTAATTAATTAATTAGCGGGCCTCACCCTTATGCGAGAAATTGTAATTTTTATAATTCCTTAATGATTGTACAAATGGATTTTTCCTTTCAATATCGTTATCGGATGTCAAACGAAATTGAAACATTACATTTTAAATAATATTTCAAAGTGCTCATGGCCTAATTTCTCGCATCTTTAAATGCTCGCAAAACTCTCAACCTTAACAAAAGTTACGATGCGTCAAAGTAGGTCATTTCAAGCTAGTATTTCGATAATTTAGGTAATATGCTCATTTTAAAAATTTGTTGATGATTGTAACTTAGTCAAATTCACAAATCGCCTTTGTCACCTTGAAGCTCGTTTCGAGAACTATATTGTTAACATATCGAATAGCACAAACGAATATCGAAAATAATTAAACGAGTGTCTCAAAAAGAAAGAGATGCCTAACTCTTCTTTTCCTTAATTTTTTTAATTATTTAAATTTTATTATTTTTAGGTGACAATTTTTTTTATTATAATTTATATTATTTTATTAGAATATTTTTACATGGGAATGATGTCAAAAAAATTCGGATCATTACACAAAATATAATAA